CCTCAGTGTGGGTCCCTCATTGCTCTTCTGCCTCACTCCTTGGCTTAGGAGAGGCCACTCACTCCTGACAGTGGAATGTCTGGGTCAGGGTCATGCTCTGTGCCCTCCCTAACCTTCCTTCTTTTCTCCTCCTCCCTCCCTCCTCCCTCCCTCCCTCCCTCTCCCTCTTTCCCTCCCTCCCTCTCTTCCTCTTTTTCTTCCTTATTCCTCTTCAGCTTCCTTACTTCCCTCCTTCCTTTCCTAACCTCCCTTCTCTCTCCTCTTCTCTCTCTCCTTTCCTTCTTTTCTTCCTTCTTCCCTCCCTCCTTTCTCTCCTTCCCTCCCTTCCTCTCTCTTCCTCCCTCTGTCCCTCCCTTCTCTCCTTCCTTCTTTTGCATCTTCTTTGGAGTACAGTTTCGGAGCCTGGAGGAGTTTTTATATACCATTATATTTCCCATCCTTTCATTTTACAGGTGAGGAAACTGGGAACTGGCCAACCTGACCAATTTCCTAGGGTGGCACTGGCAGCATGCCCTTCCTTTTATTAATGACAGTGTGAATTATTGATTATCTTTAAAACTTCCTGTGATGTCAGTGGAAAATGTGTTTTTTAAAGAATTGCCAAAACTTTGTAGTGATTACCTTTGTTCATGAGGAAAAAGCCTGCTCACTACTGTTACTTCCCCTCTATTCAAGGCCACAGTTAGAGTTTCCAAGGTATGTTTTTTTCACATCATCACTACTTACTATTAAAATCTTTGTTGGGTGTGACCACTCTGGAAGGTGCCATTGTGTATAATACAACAGACAAGGTTGTATCTGTATAGCCAGGTCCACAAGCCATGTGTATTGACAGGGGCTTGTGGACTGTGTGAAGCAATCCCACTGGGTCTTCAAAGCAAGCAGCATCCTCTGATTTGTATGTGTAGGTGCTGGTCCCACAAGGTCAACTTGGTAAGGCTGGCACACAGAAGTTTACAAATAATATAAAGATTAGCAGAGCACCTTCAGTAACAGGGATACCCTTTACCTAGTGGCACAGACACGGCCCTCAGAACTTTCAGAGGTTAGGCAGGGAGGCTAATGGGTATGGAGACTTCCTAAGACAAAGAGATGCTTCCCACTGGAGCATCTCTAGTTTATCACTCCTCAGCTCCAGCCTTGCAGCGTGGAATTACGGGTCAGTACAACCAGATTCTTAACTTTTTAGAAGCAGCCAGAAATCTGGAATTGTAGGTTAAATTTCCCGTTTTCTAAGTATTACTAATTCACATTTTTTTCCAGTGATCCAACTTTGGACAAATATTGTCAGTTTGTGAACTCCAAAATCTTTGTCTTTCCCAGGCAGAGAATTTGACTTAGTATCAGCTAGGCCTAAAGTACTTTGGCTGGTAGTCTCAATATGACTTCACATTCTTCATCCATTTTATGAAATTAACCTGGTTTATTAAAACAAAGATGTAGCAACTGGTAGTGGTCTCATTCTCTAACTTCATAATCACTTCCAATTCTAGTGATACTTCCTGTGCCTCATGAGGGAGGGGGAGGGAGGGAGGGAGGGAGAGAGAGAGAGAGAGAGAGAGAGAGAGAGAGGAGAGAGAATACGTATGTACGAATGGATCGATGTTTCAGTTCTTGAACATTTTTCATTCTTAAATGTCATCAGAATAATTTACAGTATCTGCACACAGACCTCCTTTTACTCTTCTGTTGAATCTTTTATCTGAAATACCTGAAGGCCAGTTTCTTGGCCAATTAGCATTTCCAACAGTTCATTCCACCCCCAGGCAGCCAATGGTCACAGTATATTTGTGCATCACAGGTCTAATGATTCAATTTGGTCTTCAAAATTGTTGGGAAAAATTACAGTAAAAAAATTTTTTTTGTCTGAGCTCAGAGTTCATAGAACATCAGCACATTAATATTAGATGACCCTAAATAGACTTAGTAAGTTTACAAGACAAATGCCTATTAAAATCAAGACTGTTTTTAAGTCTTTCCATGAATTTTGTTCTTGGGGCATAATACCATTATAACTCCATAGCAATGGTACATTTTACATGGGCTCCTTTTCTTCAGGCTAATAGTGGCAGGCTGAGACAATTAGAAAATGCAAGTATAACAAGCTTCCTTTTGAAGTAAATGTTTTTGTTTAGAGTTCTCATATTGGCAATCTTCCTTTATCTAATTTTCTAAATAGCTGCTTAAGCCTGGGTCCTAGTTAATCTATATTAGCAAGTCAGAGACAAAATCAACGTGTGTTTGCAGACACCAATGAATATGCCATATGTGGGTAGCCCTTTTCAAAAGTTTTGAAAACACAGCTTTCTATACTGCAGAGGCCCATCTAGCTCAAGATGCTTAAACTTGGTGGAAAGTTCATGTTTGTTGTCCTGAGCCGGTTCATATCTTTTGCTGTGATCTTTGGTGGGTGACCTGATTCATGCTCTGTGGAATGGGAAATGGTAATGGAATTGAACAAGAAGGTATATTGTCTACATATTTAAAAGGGCTAGGGCCCAGAGCTGAGTAGGGAGAGAATAATACCTCCAAACTTCAGCTAAGATTAGCCAGTTCTGCCAGAACACTTTCACTCATGTCACGTGCATGTTAACCACCTGATGATGTGCTGATAGAAAGACACATAAAGCAACTATTATTACTGGCAGAGAGCCCTACTGTAAACCTGGAAATATTTAAATGTCAGATCTGAGTTATGATCCCTGTCTATGTAAGGATTAAAAGGGGTCATGGAATTGCATTCCATTTTTCCCGCACGCACTGCACTGCTCGCCAGCTTCAGGACTTAAGAATTTTCCACGAGTGATCTTGAGGTGGAAAGAATTAAGCTATAAGCAAGAAGCAGGGCTTTGTCTTGAGCTTGTAGGACACTTTTCAGAGGTGAATGCAGTTGTAGAAAGGTAGAAGCTCATTTGTCATGTCAAGAAAAATCCTTAGAAGAATATATATATATATATATATATATATATATGCCTAAGATTCTAAAGGACTGAGACCCTGCCTTCTGAGTTTCCTGTATTCTTCTCCATGCTGCAGTGTGCTTCTGTGCCATCCCGTTATTCTGCCCTTGGTAAAAGTTGTTGCTTCCTACTCTTCCCCATATGCCATCTCACCTGAAGTGTAGCAGGTGATGGGTTTTGTTTATGTTTTACTTACCCTTCTTATTGCTTTCTCCCCTCTGACGCTGAACAGGACCCATGAGAAGCAAACGTGACACATCAGAGCTTCTCTCCTCTGTATTCAGACACCCCAGATTAGGGAGAACTGGTGAAGGAGTGAATGAATGGACTTGTTGTTAACCCGCCTGTAAATACACACGATGTCTCTGGTAATGGATTGCCCTTGCGAACAAGAAATCATTCAAAGTTTAATTTTAATCTGCACATCAGAGATAAAGATAGGGAATTGTTTAGGCTTTTCTCTCAACTTCTTTCCCGCTCTGATTTTTAAAGATAAAGCAAATTAATTAATGTGCACTTTTCAGTTGAAAAAATGATTAAGACCCAGCTGTGTTTGTGAAATTATAACCTAGGATGCATCCAGGACTTGTTAATGCTTTTTTTGGCATGAAGAAAAGAGACACATAGGTATCTAATATTAAATGGTGTTCCACAAAGCATAAGTTAGCGGTTTGTTTGCCAAATTAACTTTCAAAGACATTTAGGTTACTAAGTTTGACATTTCTAAACATAAATCTTAAATGATTGATGGACTACTATAAAATAGCTTTGTTCAAAAAAGATAATCTTTGGCAGGCTGCTTCAAAGACTGCTACTCTGGAAAGATGAAAAGATACCCCGTTTTACATTAATTTCCCTGATAAATCAATGCTTACTTGAAACACTCCTGAGAATGATGTGATATTTACTGTAGCATGAAGCTGTGTTCTCTGTATCCAGCAGCTCCATGGGACTTTTATTTCTAAGAGGTAGAAGAATTTTCTACACATAAAGAGCAGCTTTAGCAGAATACAGCTGAGCCAAACAGTGGAGCTGGCACTTTTATTTACTACTGTTCTATTGCAAAGTAAATGTACAGAGATATGATTTTCTTTAAAAATCAGCAATACTGTTTCAAGGCCGTTTCATATTCTTTTCATAGTTTCCTTCACAGTATCTGAAATGATCTGCTTCTTTTTCAAAATAGATTGTATGATTTTTATTTAGGTCTAAGGTCACTGTGAAATTCCAAAGATAAAAGGTGAAAATCTCAACTAAGTAAAGGGTTCAGTAGAAAATGAAAATGAGCAAATGGGGTCAGGTGTGTGCACATGCATGTGTGTGTGCACATATGTGTACGTGTGTACCTGTGTGCATGTATGTGTATGCATGTGTGCCTATGTATACATATATGTGTGTTCATGTATGTGTGTGTGTGTACGCATATGTGTCCCTGTGTTTGTATATGTGCGTATGTATGTGTATGCATGTGTGCATGCTAGGGAAAGGGGTGTGGTCCCTGGATATCATTAGGTCACATGACATCTATTCTGACTTTTATAGTAAAACTGGAAATCTAGATTATTATTAGCAATCTTCAATACTGGCAGTGATTTCAAATTTCTAAGAGATGCTTAGGCGGCCAAACAAAACATGTTTAGGAGATAGCAGTTTTTGATCTCTCTAAATATGCTGATAAAGAAAAGTACCTTAAAAGAAAAAAAAAAAAACTTTCAGCTCTTTGTATTGTTTGGAATGCAGAACTTCATAATTGTGACATGGCAGTTACAATGGCCTGGAATGGCCCAGTCAGATGGCTGTGTTCTTTGTTTACAAGCTTTGCAAAAGCACTTGATGCAAGCGTAATGTTGGGCGCAATGGACTGGTTATAGTTCTTTGTGTAAACCACTGCAGCCAGTGAATTCACTACAGACAAGTATGAAGTAGAAGCCTTTGCTTCTGGTATCTCCAGATATCTCCAGACTATCTCATTTTATGGAATTGAATAAAGCTAACTTGCAAAAGGAAAAATAAAAATTATCCTTCTTTGCTCTTTGGCAGGGTGAAGTAGAGAAATAAGTCTCCCCGCTGAACTACTATGAGGCCAGAAACCTTGCTGCTATATCTCACACTGCTACACTCTGCTGGGGCTGGTTTCCCAGAAGATTCTGAGCCAATCAGTATTTCGCATGGCAACTGTGAGTACCATCAGCTCACTCACTTTCTCCTTCTGCAGACATTTTAGCCTGCACCAACTTAGCATTTCAGCCTGTGTACATGACAAAGGTGGATAACTCAAGTCTGGTGAAGTTGGTGGGATAACTGTTAAATGGCCATATCAGCTGTTGTTATAGGGACACAAACAAGCCTTTGAGGTTCCTCAAGAGCCCTGATGAAGTCTCACCTGCTACATGGAGGCAGTGCTTAAGCTTTCAAACCAGCCATATGTGAGAATATTGCTGTCATTTGAAGACTCACAGTATTACATCTTTTCATCTGTAACCAATATGTAGGCATTATTACAAAATATGATGGAAAATAATGAGTGTTTTTGAAATACTTTAGAGAAAACTTTTTAAGCCTTAGAAGTTATGTCATTGCTTAGACTCAGGTAGACAGTAATATTGAATTTATATAGAGGATTTATTCTGTGTATAACCTTCTTTTGATACCCGCTCTTGTCAGAGGTAGATGCTGACAGAATTTAAACCTCTGTTAACTCTTCCAAAGAGGAACGTTCTACTTGCTTTTTAGAAAGAGCATCTAGTTTCCTACTTTATTTTCTGACCTCCAAAATACTATTTTATCTCAATGAGGGTAAAAGAGACCATTTTGCACAAATGTCTGTTTTCTACATTATTGTCCTCAAACAAACACTGAATGACCCATGCAAAGGATGTTCAGTCTTTCTAAGGGATATTAACCAAATCCACCAATGCTTAGCTTTCAGCTGGATTTTCTGAGTTGAAAAAGGACTTAATTTTACACAAAAATGAGGTGTCAAGACTGGTATATAAAAATTAGAGAACAGAAAAGGCTAAACTGCCGTTCTGCGTTATCTGTTCTGAAATGGGAGAGTCCCCACACTTAGGGCTAGGCACCAAATAACCTAGTATTTCTTTCCATTTAAGATGAGATATTTATATTTACTACACTATAAGAGGCACACCAGCCAAAATATGCTGCTGAAAATCAAACTTTAGTGATCACTCAAACCCATGATATATCTCTATAGACATAGGAGTTGCCTTAGCAACCTCCTTGATGAACGGGTGCATGAAATTGCAGCACCATGGAAGGAAACACTTACGATAATCTTTCATCAAACTTACTTGTGAGTAAAATATACTGAAGCTTTCTGGTAACTCACCACTGTGAGAAAACCCAGATACGTAGGGTTAAAGTGTAGGGGACCAAAAATGAATCTGTGAATGGTTTCTTAGTCATAGTTTCACACCCTTAACTCCTCAGAGAACACTGCCTTTTGAACGTGCCTCATCTTTCTTTCCTTTTTTTGGAGGATTGCCAGTGCTCTGGAGTCTGTAGGTTTAGAAGCAGAGAGATGCTGAGATACAGGTATTTCTGAAGGTCAGATATTATTACAAATCACCCACTCTCAGCCAAAGAGCACCATAGGACAGAAGAAATGTGCTCTCCTGGACTCCGCCAGATCACCCAATGACTGGCTACACTCACTTTGACCCTGTCCTGTCAAAGCCCACATTTCTGTGCGATTAGCCAATTGCTTAACTCTGGAGTGAACTTCCCACAGTTCCTAGAATGCTAACCAACCTAGCAGAGCTGCCCTCAATAGTAGATTATTCCAACCGGATGCCTGCGGAGACTGTATTTTTCTTCTGGCTCCTGGATGAAGGCTCTCTCCTCCAGACCACATTGCCTTTGTGGTGATTGATGGGAAGGCGGCTTTGAAATAGTTTTGTCCAGAGACAAGATCTTTGGCAGCCTGCCCCCTCAGGCTTAGCACTCCACAGAAGATGAAAAGGAAACTGTGGAAAAGAACACCTTCATGCAAAATGTTCACTAGCAAAGTTTAACCCCTAGAAATTGTGTCACTTAGAAATGTTAAGTCCAGGCTTATTTATCTGGACTTGAAGTGTAACTCAATCATCCTTAAAGAGCACTCTCAGTATTTCCTGAAATAATAGCTTCGTCGGAGATGGGAAACAGTGCATGGTCTGAATTAAACATGGTTTTGTTCTGTGGCCTGCCCCCTCCTCACCCTGCCCTGTTGATTCTTGGCTTGATCTGCTTTCTCTCTTTTGCCCCATCTCCTCTTTTGATAGATACAAAACAGTATCCGGTGTTTGTGGGCCACAAGCCAGGACGGAACACCACACAGAGGCACAGGCTGGACATCCAGATGATCATGATCATGAACAGAACGCTCTACATTGCTGCTCGGTAAGAGGCGTTTCTGCATGTTCACCCTCAGCATGTCAGAATAGTCTATGAGCTCTACATCATTTCTAAGAAGTTGAGGTCCCTCAGCTGTGCTCTTTAAGCCAAAGGCTACTTTACATTTGTCAAGCAATCATTCTTTCAAGACTTTCTATGTCTGTTTAGCCATATGTGGATTTAAAGAGAAATAATTGCATATTTTGGAGTTTAAACTCAAATAATCCATTGTGTATTTGGACATACATACAAATATTTACCTAAGAACCCAATAGAGTACCCCAATTCCTTAATAGTTGTTTGTTAAATTAACTTGAATGTGTAAATATATACTGTAGAGTATGTGTGTCTATTAAATCTATTTCCTATTTGGTTTTTTGTTGTTGATGTTGTTGTTTTGTTGTTGTTGATTTTCTTTTGGTTTTTGACATCATCGCTCTAGTCCCAGCCCACCTGGAAGTCATTGTGTGGACCAGGCTGGCCTCGATCTCATAGACATCTGCCTGCCTCTACCTCCTGAAAGGTGGGATTAAAGACGCATGCCACCACCCCTAGCGCTATCAACCCTATTTGTATTTTTGTGCTGAATATATAGCATCGGTCTGTATTTTAAAAGCGTGGCAGTGGCAACCAGAGAAAATAAAATACTGTACATATTGCAAAAGGGGTTTGTATTTGGTAATAACAATAATCATAGTAAGTCCCATTCGTCCTTTGGGAAGTGACATGTGGATATATTGATACCCTAAGACTGAGTGGAATGGTAAGAACACAGCCTGGACAGGGCCACATGGATTAGGTCATTTGTTCTAATTCTGCCTTGTGAGTCAGCTGGTTCATGGCTTCTCTCGCCCCATGTGTTCTTTGCCAGGTGAGAGGTTAGGTGAGTATCTTAATGAAGTCCACTGTGATTCCAATAAGGTTTGGGGTATATAATTCTTTCAGGGAACACCTTCCAGAGGTACTGCACTGGGGTCTTACCTGACTCTAAACAGATGAATAATTTCACTCTGGGAAGAAGAAAGGCGGATACTGTTTGTATGTGGCTGGAGCTTAGGAGAAGAGCAGGCAAATAACAACAGTACTGGCTTCTTTTTAAGTTTAGCTATTCCCAGGTGACAAGCTTTGTGAAGTAAAGTAAACTTTGAGTGGGATGAAAATACCCCAAGACCACACTTGGCCACAGGCAGCAACACTAAAACACTTTTTAGGAACTTTTACTTCACATACACCACACATGCCAGTATGTCATAGATACTGTTATAGCTTTTTATAAATGTCAACTTGCAGACCATGGAAACAATCCCATGAGATGGAATTACTGTCTTCCCCATGGCTTATAGAAGGAATCCAGAAGATGGAGACAGGCAATGAGTGGATCCAATGAAAGCAGGTGGCCACATAGCCACACCCTGTCCTGTGCTGCCCACTGGGAAGTGGAGCTCTTTATCCTGACAATAGCCATCTATTGCCCAAGAGTAGCCTCTATAGGTATTCATTATGGAACATTCCAGAGATGTCTCAGTACCCACTTCCACTTCTCTGGAGGCACAGTAGCTCCTTCAATATCTTTCTTTATAAAAATATTTATTATTTTTTATTTTATGTGAATGAATGTATTACCTACATGTGTATAAGTGCACCCATGTTGTGCAATGCCAATTGAGGACAGAAGAGGGTATCAGATTCCCTGGAACTGGAGTTACAAGTGGTTGTGAGCTGCCATGTGGGAACTGTGAATCAAATCCCGGGTCCTTTACAGGAGCAACCAGTGCTCTTACCCGCTGAGTCATCCATCTCTCCAGCCCCTTCAATATCTTTCTTAATTTCCTAAATGCAGCAAAGCTAGATTACATTTATTTATATCCAAATATCTGAAGGCTGATCAAAACAAATGGTTATACATTGCATCCTTGAGAACTATGACTCAAGAATCTCCTGTGAATTGTTCTCCTCACAATTGAGTCTCTGGGAACAGAAATGGTTCTAACAGGCAGCCCTTGTACCCAGTGATTTAGCATAGGTGTGGGCTGCAGGCCCAGGGCAACATGAGTGCTGGGAGCCAGGTCCTATGTAGACTTAGAAGTGTTCATTATTCCAGCTCATTAAAGCTAAGACAGTTTCATCTGAACTCTCCACCTGAAGAAGAAACAGAAATTTAAAAAAAAAAAAAAAAAGAAGAAATGTATTCCTTTCCAAAAACTATGAAACAGACTCACCATTCATTAAAGGGCGAGTTTGGAACACCCTAACATTGACTTGGAGTTTTTCACTCCATACCCAGCCACTGCCCTTCAATACAGATTCAGAAGAAGTCCTACAGGAGTCCCATGGCTGCCATATTTAGGACCTTTCCTTTTAATTTCACATTCCCCAACACTGCCCTGAGATATCCAGGTTCCTAGGCAGCAAGTTAACGTGATTTAACATTAAGTCCTTACCCTAGGTTCAAACCATGGCAACACAATTCAGTGGTACTCTATGAAGAGAAAAGAGGAAGTCCTAGGATTAAGTCAGTTTATGTCAAAGTAGCTAAATTCAGATGCAGGAACATCATAGGACATCCTGGGAGGCACAAAGGCAGTTGGAAATGATCCCTCGCTCTGGATTATGGTTGACTAAAGAGCACCATTTCTACTTGCTGGGGCCATGTGATCTTTGAAATATTGAAAAAAAAATTGCATTGTTCAGCAGGGATTTCATTCATGGAACTGTTTTTAAAAGGTTTCCCAGCTCCAACAGACAATTGCTGTCGGCAATGGAAAGCCAAATCCCATCCAGAACCCCGGGGACTGATGGGGTTTGGTGACAAGAACCCCTTCCAATTCTTTCTTATTATTATCCACTTTGTAAATTCTTCTTTTCTTTTTAATCTCTAAACTACTAATTAACATAAACAGACCATGCCAAAAGGGGGCAATCTGAGAGTTTTCTGAGGCACTGCCAATGCATATTAATCAGTTGTTAATTTACAATTCATATATTCAGCTTCTACTTAAGTTTTGAAGGGAAGCAGGGCAAGGAAAAGCCTACAGTCATCTCAAACCTGATACCAAAGTCATAGGCAATTCCAGTCCAATAATGTGCCTGACCACAGCACCATCATAAAGTCAAACAAGTAATAAAAGGATGCAATAAACGGCCTTGAAATTAAAGGGCAGAGTGATTCTGGCACCCCACTGAAGTTGGATGAAGCTTCCCAGTTCAGCAGTTTACAAAGCAGGCTCCTCATGCTCCCCCTCACCATCCTTACACAAACACACATCCTCTTTCTCTCACACACACACAAACACACACACACACACACACACACACACACACAGAGCTCAGTAGCAGGCAACAACTTTGCCTTCCTTTATTTTCACACGAGAAGCCCATTTTTTTTATTGTGTTTTCTCCAAAAGCAAATAGATTTCCCAAGAGTTGAATACACACACACACACACACACACACACACACACACACTCATACACACACAAATACACACACAAAACCACACGCACACATACATAAATATCATAGATGAAGTCTACAAATAATTGCTTTCTTTTCTTCTCCTGCAGTCTCTTCTTCTTTTTAACAAATGGGGAGACTTGAAAGTCTGCATAAGAGCCCTGAGGTCCTAGTTTAAAGCTGTGGATAATTTTCCAGCCCCAGGACTTCCTGCGTTTTAGAAAAAGTCAATGTTATTTCAAGGGAAAATGAGCTGTTTGGCTTCCCCCATTTGCCCCCATCTCCTCCACTGAGTGTAGTTCTTTTCTTCTCATTCTTCTGAATCCCAGACAAAAACGCCCTTGTACTCAGCTCACACAGAAGGGGAAGTTTAAATATAGCCCCACACCTGAGCTGCTGATTCTGTTTCTCCCTTTCCAGGGGAGATTGGCAGCAAAGTGTAAAGACAACCAAAATCTCAGCAAAACAGGACGGTGAACAGAAGCAAGAAGTGTCAACTTAAGCTCAAGCACATTTTACACTTTAATTCACCATCATCTTGTGAAGAAAGGATGGCTATTAGAAATAATTTTACTTTTACTGTCTTCCATCTTACAAATCAATTTATCAAAGCTAAGCTGGAATACATACTTTCTAAAGAGATGGAGGTAAAGATTAGCTTTTTGTCAGCCCTTTTGATGAACAATTGCAGCAAGTTGAACAACAAGCTTTTGGTGCATATGTTTAAAGGTACTGAAAGCCTATGTGAACCCACCTATGTGCCAACCTGTAGTCCAGGCTAACCTTCAGAGCCCTTACACTTGAGCTCTGCACATGCAACACTATATTTCTGAGATTAGGCAAAGGTTTTCATGAAAGCTATCCCATCCTGCCTGATGCCTTCAGATAGCAGGAGATGCTAAATATGATTCATGATAATCCCTTATGTTAAGTTCTTTTCCTTTTCTAGCTTGCACATGTCTTGTTTTCAAAAAAATATGTCTGTGGCTTCTCTGCTCTGAATAGAACTCATTCAGAAGAAAATGGTCCGTCTTGCCACTTGTGTTTGACCTTGTATTAATTTTTCTTTGTTTACAGGGACCATATTTATACTGTTGATATAGACACATCCCACACAGAAGAAATTTATTGTAGCAAAGTAAGTTATTTTTTAAGCCATCTTTCTAACTGGAGGTCCTTAAAACATACGTCTTTTTAATGTGGTGGTGGAGATGATATGGCTAACGCTGACTTAGAGAAGCCAGTTAGGGTTTACTACACATTCCAAAACAAGTACTTCATATTTTATTCATTAGTGTGTCCATATACAATTTGGGGTTTGAAGTGATTTCTAAAATCCTTCAATAAAATGTTTCCTTGTTTATCCAGAAAGATACCTATTTTCACAAGTAAAATTCAGTCCTATAGAGGTATTAAAAATGACCCAATGTTAATACTTCTGTGTCATGCAGTATGAAAGTTATTTGACTGATGTGGTTCTAGAATTTAATCATTATCCATCCATACATAAAGTCTAACGTAAGCTTTCCTTATAACTCCACATGGGGGTATTTGAGTTAATAAAAACTGTGCAATGGAAGTAGAAGATCCCTCTAGCACATTAATTTACATGAAAGAGCGTAACCTGAATTAAACCTTTGTTCACCTAGAGTGAATGTTCCCTTTATGTTTAAGAAAATGACTTCCATATTTTAAGGGAAAAGACTTCTTTACCATCACTGATTTATTAACTGAAAAAGAAAGTCCAGGACACATTTTAGCAAAATGAGCATACTTTGCAAGTTACTTTGGCTATTTTATATGGAACATCCCTTGTTATTTATTTTTCTTCCTTTTCTCCTTTATCTTTATCTAAAAAAGAAGACCATTCTGTACCTTAATGAATAGATAAGAATTCAGAATTAAGTGAATGGTTCCTTCTCTAATCTTTTGTTGCTATGGTGAATTAATCATGGAGAAAGGGTGTGGACAGCTTTCAATAAATGTATGTTCAGCCTCTACTCTCCCCAAGGGAACTCTTACTTCTAAAACCAAATGCACCAACCCCTGGGCTCTAATTGATTTCTTTCTTGATCCCTGCAGAAACTGACATGGAAATCTAGACAGGCTGATGTAGACACATGCAGAATGAAGGGAAAACATAAGGTAGGCAATTTTCATTTCTCCTGTAGCTGCCACTTTGGGTTAGATTTTTGACGGTTATCTCCGGCCGTAGACTGATGTTGAATGCATCTTGCCACTCTCTTTTCCCTAGTAATTGCTTTTTCCATCAACTTATTGAAGGCTTTAATTTGCAAAATAGTTTGCTTTTAATGTGATGAAACATTACAACAGCTGCTCGATCTACATTGTGAACTCGGGCTCAGTTGGGATTATGATGCAGAGCTGGCCTCCTGAGTCTTCAGGGTGCTCTGTCCCAACAATTCATCTCCCAGGCCAGCACCCACTGAGAGTCTGCTGAAGAACTCATGAAAAGCTTTCAGAGATATGCAGGCTTTTGTGCCTTTGGTCAAATAACAACATAAAAACACACTTCAAGCAGAAGGCTTGCACATAAAGGTATCGTGGAGCATCTGTCATTAAAATTAATATTATGGGATATTGCCACATTTGACTCACCTTCTTTGTGTGACATCAAACAAATATATGTATCCATTCTATGCCATATTTTTTTTTTTGCTGTTGAAAAACTGTTGACATCCTTCATTGGCTAACGTGAACAACTTGAACGTGAACAACTTGAACGTGTAACAGAGGAACTCAACTTTGCAACCCTTACACAGTCTACCCTCCTCACTGCAACCTTGTTATTGGCAGATCATAGTATAGAGTGATGAATGGGCTTTTGTATTAAACAGACTCTGTTCAAAACAATTTGTATTATTTTTTTCAGGATGAGTGTCACAACTTTATTAAAGTTCTTCTCAAGAAAAATGAGGATACGTTGTTTGTCTGTGGAACCAACGCCTTCAACCCTTCCTGCAGAAACTACAAGGTAAATGTCATTTGTCTGTTGGAACCACACTGCCAGAAGGTATTTCATAATTTACTGCAATCATACCTGCAGCAACTGAACAGGGGTAACTCAATACCACCTGGCTTCTCGAAGCTTGTTCAACTTAGTGTATTGTTCCACTGAGTGATCCTGAGAAGGTGCCTAAGCTTCCTGTTTGCTTGGGATTGATTGACACATCTTTAAAGAGCCTTCCTTGTGAAGGTAGTTTCTGGAAGTCTCTAGTCTTAATCATTCAGAGGAAATGATGCCATGTGAATTTCCTCTCTCTTTTTCTGTTTGTCCCCACTTGCATCCTTCATCATCTCTCTGAGCACAAAACTCACTTAATGGTAAGGAAATCCTATTCTAAAAGTTATGGCAAAAGCATGCCATTTGAAACTGTAGATTTTCCTTTTGGCAAGATTTTCAAGAGCACAAGGATTTAATTCCATTTAGCACTAGCTCACTTGGCCATGGCCCTACTTGCATTGGCCTTTCTATTTTAAAAGAGAAAGAAAAACATCATTCTCAAAGTTCTCAAAGAGTTAGTAGTTCTATTCAGGTATTTGCAGCTGAGGAAGCTGGGAGACCCTGAGTTATTGGAGCAGAACCACCAATGGCCTAACATCTTGGCTCCACCTCTGTCAACTTTCCTTTGGGCCACAGGTTTTACTCAGAAAACATAGGTTGAGTTTCTACATTGGCCAAGCCCTGAAGCTGTAAAGATATAGAAGAGGCCATGGCCGGTAGAGAAGCTAAGACCCAAGAAGGAAGCTTCCAATCCATAGAGTAGCTGCCATGGTCACATAATATAAAGAATTATGAACACACAGCACAAATGTCCTTACCCTCACCTGAGTCAGAGTAGGTGAAAGTTGCAGGAAGGATGTAGATAAGACCCCCTCTGAAAAGTTCCCACCTACTGGTCTCATACCTGGAACACCACAGAGAGCCAGAAAAAGCAGGGACTGCATCTATGATTATTCAGAACCAGAAGTAGTGCCTCCCAAGCAGGTGCCTGCTATCATAAATCATGGGCAAGATAATGCCTGACCTTTGTTTAAAAGACTAGTAAGGGGTTAGCCAAATGAAGGCAGAGGGCATTCTAGGTAAAGAAAGCAACACAAACACAGGAATGACACAGGAAACAGCTAGTGAAGCTTCTTGAGCTTGGGCAACTTCATCTGGTTCTGAATTGTTGGACTCTGAAGTGACAAAGGACAGTAACAAGGGACTGGAGAGGTAGGTGGCCCCAGAGATAAAGGAAAGAGAATAGACTCAAGAATACTTAACTAAGAGACTTTGGAGGATTTAGTAATTGATAAGAAGCGTGGACAAAGAGGGAGAGAGTAGTCAGCAAGGCCTCCTAGACTGCCTCTTAGAGAGTGGGTCTTGGGGCTGCCAATAGCCTAGACAGGGAATAAAGGACTCCCAGGGAGCAGGGAGATAGAAGTTCTACTCTCTTGGAAGTTCTACTCTCTTGGTTATTCATGTCCCGTGGGACATGAATAGACATGTCCAGCAAGGGACTGGGTGGAGACCTTCTTTAAGGAGCTATGTGGTAGGGCTGGAGAGATTGCTCAGCAGGTAGGAGCACTTGTTGCTCTTCCAGAAGACCCAAGTTCGATTCCCAGCAACCACATCATGTGACTCACAACTGCCTCTAACTCCAGCTCCTGGGGGGAATCTGACACTTCTGGTCCCTGAAGGTACCTGCACTCATGTGCATAGAGCCAAACACAAATACACACATGTATTCATAATTAAAAATAAAAATAAAATCATTTTTAAAATGAGTTATATGGGGAAAAATGTAGACTTGGTTTTCGCCAGCACAAAGTGAAGCCTTAAAGGTGTGAGGAATGGGAAAGCAATGGTAGCCAGAGTTGGAACCAGTGGGCTCACCAGAAAAGGTCTGTTTCATTTTTCACCATTTGACTTTGTCACAAAATATGATGGAATACTTAAAATATGGTTAGTAAGATAAACTTGAGTTTTCATATAGTATTTTTAAAAATCAAAATTAATACAGAAAAGTCTTATCCTAAGCAAAAGACCAGGTTTTAAAATAAATGAAAAATCTATCCAGCCCAGTATTTGCTGTAGCCTTGATGGCGTCCAGCTGCAATTTCAGCTTTAATTCTGTCACTTAATATTCCATCCCTGTTTGTCATTGTTTAGTACTCATTAAGATTAATGCTTCTAACACAACCCAAGGAATTCCCTAGCTAGAAAGCTATCTTTCCTGACAAATTACACGTTTTTCTTAGCACTATGATACACAGGCCATGAGTGGTCTAGCTCAGTTTTCTGTGTGTGTTCCGTTTCCCACGGTGCCTCACCTATAGTGATGCAGCCACACCTAAGGAAGCATGACCAGGAGCCTAGTCCTCTCAGAAGTCACATTCAGGATGCCATTCTGCCTCATCCTGTCTCTAAGCCTGGCACTGTGCACTGTGCGTGTTCTGTTAGTCTCGGGCACAGCATGACTTTGCTTATGATCTGGTGTATGCAGTGTGTTGCGCTTACAGGGAGGATGAGAGCCACTCTCTTCAGTGATTTTTGGCAACAGATTAGGACTAAGGACACAAAGCAAAAACAATCATTGGTCTTCCACTGCAAATCTCCAGTTCCATGCCAGCACAGATACAAGTATCAATATTATTAGAGTGACCCGAAGCAAGAAACTGATGTCTCTACCTCTGCATCGTGATTTACCCAATTTTATTTAGAAAGTAAGTTGAATGTACTAGAAAGATTACAGACCCAATAAGATTATCTGGAGAAGAATTTGAAGGCTGCCAAGTATATCTAAAGCTCTACTCCATGCACAACACACCTATCTCCTCTTGGGCCCTAGACCTGAACTTTCTGCAAAAGTCAGGCAGGTTCTATATATAATTGTAAGTACTCTATGGGGATTTAATTTCCCAGGGGCTGTGGTTTTATTCAGAGATCTGATGACTACAAGGATTAGTTCTTACTTAATGGAAAGAGGATTTCACCATGGCATTTATTTATTTAGTCTCTAGACACAAACCGATACATTAATTCTTTACTGCTTCCTGCCTTTGAAAAAGTAGCCATAGCCACTTTTATTTTAGGAGTAGGTCCCACATCCTCCTGTGTGTTGCTTCCCATTGTCAGGATTAGGGCTTGCCCCATGTGGGATCAGGCATTTCTGAAGCGTGGTGTGTGCAAAACACCATTGCTGACTACCTGCCAGACCCACAGACTACAAAGTTTGTGCTGTTCAACAGGGCGCTCTTGCTGGGATAAAGCATCTGAACAAGACTTTTGTAAGGAATGTGGTGGGAGGAAGAATACATTACTTTTAAGTATGTCTGATTTGACTGTCTTTCTCCTAAAAACATAGTTATATTTTAAACACTACTGTTTTATATGATTCTCAGCTGCAGTTTACAAATGTAAAGTAACTTCAACAGGGGCAGTCTCAAAGTGGATACATAAAGGAAAGGCCTGTCACATCCATGAAATGGAGGCATTCGGGCAGAAGGGCCATAGGTGACTTGGCAGCACTAGGTGACTTGGCAGCACTAGTGGCTGACATTCAGACCCTCGATCTTTTTTCCGGAGCAGTGACTTCAGGTGTCTTGCTTTCAGTGCAGCTCAGTGCACTGCAATTGACTTTTCCATCCATCCCTCCTCTTCAACAGTGTTGAAGGTTTTATCTTCTGTGTCTTCAAATCAGTGGTCAAAGAATGCTCCTCCTAGATGAGAAATATCCTTAAGCTAAGAGTAGCATTAAGCTACAAGACATCGTTTTGTAGACCTGGTGCTTAATGCTAGTAAGATCCCAAGAAAGTCAGAAGAAGACAGCAGGGGCCAGAGTATCATTATTGAAAGTGGGCCAACCTTGAATCATGTGACAGGTTTACTTCTGTTTGCTTCAAAGTCGAGGGTGGCTCAGTTGAGAAGGGTCTGTCCAATGAAGCTATTCAGAAGGCCATGTTCCTTCCTACTCTTGACTTTACCATCTCCATACCGGTGAGGGGAGTCAGAAGGGGCAAGGCTGTGAATTGGCATAGGGCCTCACACATTTCATTGGCCTGAGCTCAGTCACATGGCTACGCTGGACTGCAAGGGAAGGTAGGAAATGTGGTCTAGTGAGATTTGGAAAAGGGAAATGGAGTTCAGTGAGCAACTGAGGAGGCTTTGCCACAACTGCAGATGTCTATGGGGCCTGGTGTATGGGTATTAATTGCAGCAAAATAAGGTGAGTAATGGCTGCATGGGTAAGAAAGGCCTGCAGTGAACTTTTCCTTGTTTCTTTATTTTGTTTTGTTTTTATTTTTATTTTATGTGTATGCGTGTATTGCCTGCATGTAGATAAGTGCACCCGTGTCTTGCAATGCCCACGGAGGTCAGAAGAGCCTGTCAGATTTCCTGGAACTGGAGTTAAGGACGTTGTTAGCTGCCATGTGGGTGCTGGGATTCGAACCCGGGTCTTCTGCAAGAACAGCTGGTGTTCTTAACCTCTAAGCCATCTCTCCAACCCCCAACCTTTTCATTGTTTAAAAGCAGAAGACAGCAAGGTTTCATGGTAAAATCGAAAATTAGGGTTCAGTTTTCTCTCTCTCTCTCTCTCTCTCTCTCCTAATTTGGCCAAATACAACTCACAGCACTCCATTTCCAACCTCATAACCTCTAGTGTAAAGGAGCCAGGCCCAGGTGTTGCCCTGGGAGGAGGGAGCCAGCAGGTGGCAGCCCCTTCTCCTTGCTTTGGACTTGCACAATACCCTCACCTTTAGGGCCTCTGCTTTCCAGCTGTTCAACCTGAGGCTGGGCCACATTTCTAAAATTACTCTAGAATCTGATGTTCCCCAAAGCTGAGGTAGGTGCAAAGGCCACTTAAGTGCTGCTCACATCCTCGTTTTTCATCTTGGCTGATGCCACATTGTTCTACCAACCAAGTGAAGGAAAAATTCCAGTGTCTTCTACTGGGATTTAATCCACAAAGGAAGGACTTGTCAGGCAAAACAAATCCAGAAACTAAGCTCATTCTCTGTAGAGTTCACAACTCAAGAGATAATTCGGGCAGGTAGATTTTTCCCAGTGATTACCTCAGAAATGGCTGATTTAAACGCTTATATCTACCCTTCCACTAGGATGTGGAAATCTGTTTATTGTAATGGTTAAGAGCCAAGTAAATATGCTCAAATTTCATACTCCCCTAATTACAGGGCCTCGGTCAAGTAACTCACCTCTCTAAGCCTCCATTTCTTTATCTGAAACCAATAGATTTACTTCAGAGGGCATTTGTAAGGATTATTTGCAAGAATGCATATGAATTACTTTGTACATTAAGCACTTTATAGATATCAGTTCCTGTTACTGCTTGCTAATAATGGCTGGTGGTAATTAAGTCCTGTTATTTTATTTAGATCGATACTCTGGAACCTTTTGGGGATGAATTTAGTGGAATGGCCAGATGCCCTTACGATGCCAAACATGCCAACGTTGCACTGTTTGCAGGTAAACGACCTGATTTCTTCCCGTTGCATTTGCGTGCTTCAGCCCCGCGGCTGAGAATCTGCTGAGGCTTTGTGCAGTCACAGTTGTGCTCTGATTCTCTGGTGAATACTGTAATTAAGAATGCCTTTTCCATTTGAAATTAGTATAGAAACTATAGCTTTGCTTCTCAAAAGAAGTCTTTGCCACACTCCCACAGGCTTCTGTGCCTTCAGGAGAGGAGACCAGCACAGCACTGAGCATGTGATGGTATCCTTGGGCTCAGAGAATAGAAAGCCTTACCTGGAACCACCAATGTGGATTTAATGTTTGAGGTCTGCAGACTCAAGAGTGCAGCTGCTTCTTTCCCATTTCCCTGCTCTCCATCAGGAGACGTGGGCTCACAGCCCCAAGCAAAGCTGCAGGTCTTCTTGTCTACGTATAGAAAGGAAAGGGCAAGAAGTAAAAGGAAGCCTCTGGAAGCTTATTCAGAGCAGTAAGGCAGTGAATGTCTTCTCAACTGTCATTGACCTGATTAGGTTACACACATGGCTCTGACCAATGGCCATGGTGTCCAACAGAGAGAAGCTGCTGACTTAGGTGGGCCCACACTCCACAACCCTGCCCCATCTTCCTGCCGCATATGACATAAAGAAGTAGATAATAAGCCATCCTTTTCAGATTTAAGATTTTTATGTATGTGAGTGTTTTAATTAGGAATTTAGGAGTTTGTTGTCAGTGATGTATGTGGAGGTGAGTGTAGAGAGAAGTGTTGATGTAACAATGATTGTTACAGTTTGCAGTGAAGCAATTGACTATCATTTTCATCCCAACAGTGAAAGCCTGGTACATTCTAACTGGGTAGAGGACTTTGAGACTTTGATTATAAAGCAAAATTAGTTCCCGACTCCTCCTCAGTGTTACTCTTTGTGGGTCTAAGTCCACAGGGCAATCTGAAGAAACAGGAAGGTTCCTGGGTTTCTCCCTCTAGGACAGAGTACAACTTTGTAGGAAGCAGCCCTGCACTGTCAGCAACACAGTCTTACAGGCTGATCTGTAAGTACAGGCAGGAACAAGGCCTGGGGGAAATTCTTGAACTAAAAGGAGGCTGCCCTGCAGCCTGACCTAGAAACGGGAGGGTGAACTGAGTGTTTCCCAAGATCGCCAAGCTTGGGCTATAAGGAACAAGACATGATTCCCGATCCCAAGTAGGGTATTGGAATAGGTTTTCATTGGAATGTTTGAAATCTCATAGAGTTTCAGTGTTTATAATGGAAGATCCTTGTTAGAACTAAATGTTGTTATTACCAAGAGAGGCTGAGTACTGTTCTGTTTTGCCAGCAACATTCTGCTGAGGTACAACCTTAGGTGTAATATCAGAAGGGTCTTGGAGAACAAGGCAGAATAACCACCTCCACAGCCCTGTAAGACTTGGAGCTCTAAGAATCTAGAATATGTATTCCATAAGAAAACTTGTGAGTTGTAGACATATTTGTCAATGGAAAGATTTGCTGTCCATAGTCAAATATACAAAGAATCAACATTTCAATATACAGCCATTAATAATAAAGATATCAAGATAGTTCTAACTGGAATCTGAGCAAACTTTAAGACCAAAGGTAGACATCAAGATGTTTATTTATATATTTTTGGATAGCTTTCAAAAACCAGAAATCTACATAGGGATGAACTTAAACAGTACTATGTTATACAGAAGTCAGATTGACATACAATTAACGAAATTGTAAAATCCATTACAAATAATGGGGGGGCGTGCCAGGCCTGTTGGTGTACAACTTTAATACCAGCACTCTGGAGGTAGAAGCAGGTGGATCTCTGTGAGATAGAGGCCAAACTGGTCTACATAACAAGTTCCAGCCCAGCTGGGTGGGTGAGGGGTGTTACAGGGAGGCCCTGTCTCAAAAAACAGACAAAATAAAGAATCAAAGAGGGCTTAGGAGATGGCTCAGCGGGTAAGGCACTTGCTATGCAAGAATGAGGTCGTGAGTTTGAATCCCCAGAACCCACAGCCAGGAACATCAGTGCATTCTGGTAACCCCAGTGCTCCTATGGCAAGGTGAAATTTGAGGCAAAGGCAGCCTGAGGCCAGCTAGCTTGGCATACACAGCAGCTCACAACCAAATGACCCTGTCTCAAACAAGGAAGAATGTGACCACTGACACCTGAGGTTGTTCTGTATCTCTGCATGTGTGCTATGGCATGTGTACCATCTCACTCACATAAAATTGTACATACATGTACATACATTCACACATTATATACATAAAGACTTTTATACAGTGAATCAGGGGATGGGGCTGCAGAGATGACTCAGTGGTCAAGAACACTTGCTGTTCTTCCAGAGGACCTAGGTTCAATTCCCAGCACCCACATGGCAGCTAACAATCATCTGTAACTTTAGTTCCAGGGAATCTGACAACCTCTTCTGGCCTCTGCAGGTTTGGCATGACACAGGTGCAATTACATACATGCATACAAAACACTCATACACATAAAAAGTAAAACAATAGGGCTGGAGAGATAGCTCAGCAGTTAAGAGCACTGACTGCTCTTGCAGAGGACCCATGTTCAGTTCCCAACACCCACATGTCACATAGCAACTATCTGTAACTCCAGCCCCAGGGGATCTGACACCCTCCTCTGACCTCCAGGGGCATTGGATGCCTGTGATACATTTACATACATGCAGCCAAAAACCCATACACACAAAATAAAAATAAATAAACTTTTTAAAATTTAAAATGAATCAGAGAAAATGTTTAAATTTTGGATACATTAATCTACACAGATTTCTTTTTTAAATTTTTGTTTGCGTGTTTTTGAGCCAGAGTTGCACTGTAACCCTAGTTGGCCTGGAACTTACTATGTAGACCAGGTTGACCTCGAACTCAGAGAAACCCATCTGGCCTGTGCTTCCCAAGTGATAGGATAGACTTTATAATTCTTACACATCCCATCTGAGATTTTTGGTTGCAGAGTTTTGCTAATCCAGGAGGCTCGGTTTTTTCATCCTGTTCACCCTTGGACATACTCTCGAGCATATCTTCCCCCAAACCATGAATTCTTAAGGAAAGGCCAATTTGAACCCAGTCTCCCCCACCCCTTGCTTTGGCTACTTTCATTCTGGGACTCTGGAAATCTAGAAGCTGAGCTCTGTTATTTAAGCTGGATTGGCAGGGCTTAATGAAGTCTCATAACTGAGGTAAACAGAACTGTGTCTCCCAGGATAGAAGCAGTAATTTAGTCAACCATTAGAGCTTGTGAACCTTCTCTCTTCACCTCCTCACCTACTCAGGCTGAGGTCACCCTTACTTCTGAATGAACTTAAGATCTATTATGGTAAAGTCGGCTTCTGTCTTTCTCAGGGCTTCTACCTAATCTAGTTTACCATGGTGGGGTGAGTAGCAACATCCAAGGGTTCTTGGCCTTGAGATTTCAGTCAAGGTCCATCTAATCAAGTGAAGCAAACAGCATATTTTACTTACTCTGTTCCCCAGGCTGTTACTGCTACTTAGAAAAATTGCCATGCAATTTAAAAATGAAAAATGTTTCATCTCTCGTGATCCCAATTTAAAATGGCTAGGAATGTGGGCCAAGTATTTTCCTAGTGACTCCTGGATTTTTCCCAGTTGTCCTATCTCATTTGCCTGATGTAGGAAAGCAGTCTAGGGATGTCTTTATTGTTATTCATTCCTACCTTGCTCAAACCCAGTTCAATTCTTTTTTTTTTCTTCTTCTAAGATGGAAAACTCTACTCAGCCACAGTGACCGACTTTCTGGCCATCGATGCAGTCATTTACAGGAGCCTTGGAGACAGCCCTACCCTCAGGACTGTCAAACATGATTCAAAATGGTTGAAAGGTAAGCAGTTAGGTGAAAAAAAAAAAAAAAAAGACGGGAGGGAATACATATTTTCTGAGAGATTTAGAGTCTGGATGGACCATACTGCAGATTCATTTTAGTAATGGTCTCTGACAGAACAAACCATGTAAATTGTATCTTTTGCCTCAACTGATTTATTTACCTCCCCTTTTCCCTTCCCAGCAGTTTCTGAAGTATTAACAAAACTACCAGTGCCTCAACAATAGAATACATTACATTCATCTTTCACTGCCTCAAATTCTCATTTTGAGGTCCCACATGAAAAGAGCTGAACAGTTCATTCATGAAAGGGAATGGGGAGTTGGAGGTGGTGGGGGCCAGGAAAGCAGCTATTCACAACCCCTCATGAATCAGGGTGACGGGGCAACGCGCACAAAATCCTCTCTGTACTATGGACATTCCATTGTTGAAAATAAAACTACAGAGATTTGCAAACTACACTTATTCTTCACTGTTGGTTGCAAAGCTTGTGAGAGATTCAATTTGTAGACTCAAGTGCTTTCTGAAATTACTAGCCCTTGCATGTGTGAAGTCATTAGAAATGGTTAGTGTTAACTAAATGTCTAATAGCCCTACACTTTCCATTAATAATATGTCTTTGGCTACACTTGATTAAAATTCTTTTAACACTCTGTGACATAGCTCCAATTAAAGTGCCTGTTTGTCTGCAGAGCCATACTTTGTCCAAGCAGTGGATTATGGAGACTATATCTACTTTTTCTTCAGGGAAATTGCAGTGGAATACAACACTATGGGAAAGGTAAGAGGGAAGGAGACCCCTGGCTCTGTTTGTGACATCTTCAGAAACCTACTTTTGAACCAATGTTGTTATGAATGACCTTCAGAGCAACCTATAAACCCAATGACTGTGCAACCAAAGTTCTATAGAAGTGACACCTTGAGCTGTCTGGAAGTCCCATCTGCCTTTTCAGAACAGTAACGAATTACAGGGACGCTCTTAAATATTTCTACTGAAGATCTAACCAACAGATGTTTGGTTGCTTTCATATTGAATTCCAAGTGTTCTGAGATGCAGCTTCCAGGTACAATTTTCCTTTTTAATTGAGTTACTCCATAGAGAGCATACATACCAAGTATCTTTACGCAAACTGAGTCTTGATTTTATTGTAGAAAGCAATAGACCAATAATTTTATTTTACCAGATAGCAGATCAGGGTCACTAAGTTAGAGGGCACAAATAAAATGCCAGGGTAGCTTGTACCATTAGTGGAACTCACATTCCCTAGTATGAGATTGAGGCTCCAGAGGCAGCCAGTGAGGATGGCAGAGATGGCGCATACAAAGTGTGCTTTTGTCTGAGGAAATAAAAGCTAAGCAGGCTGTATGGAAATGAGTTTATGTGGCTGGGAGCTGATCCCCTGAAGGATTTATGGCTCCGTATTAAATGCCACAGCCTTATCTTTTAAAACATGCTGTTCCTGTGCTGAGTTTTCTATTTTCCCCCCTTCTTCTTTTTTTCGTTACTGATTTTAGAAACACAATATTAAATTAAGCACTTTGTTGTTCTGTTTCTGTTGTCAAGGAAAGGCAAATTCTTCTAAGAGCTTCTGCATTTCAGAAGGAGATGGCCGTGTTTCATCTTCCCTGTGTGCTTTGTCTACAGGTTGTTTTCCCTAGGGTGGCTCAAGTTTGTAAGAACGACATGGGAGGCTCTCAGAGAGTCCTGGAGAAACAGTGGACATCATTTCTGAAGGCTCGCCTCAACTGCTCAGTGCCTGGAGACTCTCATTTTTATTTTAACATACTCCAGGCCGTGACAGATGTGATTCGCATTAATGGCCATGACGTTGTCTTGGCAACCTTTTCCACACCTTATAACAGGTAACCATGTCCTGGTTGTGTTGACCTAACACATTCTTACCAGCTCCAAATGGTCTTCCCTGAGGTAAAGATTTTGCAACTGATGGAAAATCCTCAGTCACTGCAGATAAGAAGTAGTCAGCACTGAGTTCCATCAGTGAAAGAATTAGAATTTATAAGACATTATTAAATTAAGGGAGAATAAATAAATTATAACAATATCTTCTACTTATATGGTTAACAGTAAATACTTTTAATGGAATTCCTTTCCAAATATTATTGTCCTCTTTTTACGTGTGAGGAAATGGCTCAATTCCCTGGTCCAAGTAGTCAGTGATAAAAGAGAGAAGTTTGGAACTCTGATTTTTCTCCCAAATTCTTGTAGATCATCTAGCATTCCCTTTCACTTGTAGTATCCCCATGACTGGATTGGGATCTTTTGAGGTGAAAAGATTGGAAATGTATTAAAATGCTACAGTGTAGGGGATGGAGAAATCGCTCAGTGGTTAAGAGCACTGACTGTTCTTGCAGAGAACCCAGGTTCGAATCCCAGCACCCACATGGCAGCTAAAAACAGTCCATAACTCCAGTTCAGGGGGAATTTGACTCCCTCTTCTGACCTCCGCAGGCATTACACGACATGTGTGCACTTAGATACATGCAAGTAATTCACTCATACACATAAAATAAAAATAATAAATAAAATTTTTTAAATGCTATAGTGTAAAATCTAGGAGTCAGATGAATCTGTCAGGGGAGTCCACTCATCATCCTACTTGAGGAATCCTCCAGCGACTTCACTCCACAAGGTGATTCATAGCCCAGATACCAATCCCAGCACAAGTGTCTCATGGGGGTTTATAAGCCATCAAATACTGCCCCTAGAAATCCTGTCAGTCTATTCATCTTTATTTTTGTGTTTAGGTCAGCAGAGATTTTAATTAATTAAACGACAAGTTAACAATTGCTCCCAAAGTAGTGAAAGTACATGGAAATTACAGAATAGAAAGAAGTGAAGTATTACCATCCTTCTCTAGTATTCAGTCCTCTGTAAAGCCAGTACAGTTTCCAAGTCCCAGTACTGTTGTTTGAAATGGGTGTAACTCTGGGTCATAACCTGTGGCCATGACATCTCAATGCATGCACCGTGTTCTCATTATATGGAAGATTTTAAATATTCTATATGGAGTATCTTCCTCTAGGAATGTACTCTGGATTATACTTTTTTTTTTTTGGTCTTTTTGAGACAGGGTCTCCCTGTAGCCCCAGCTGTCCTGGAACTCACTATGTAGACCAGGCTGGCCTTGAACTCACAGAGATCCACCTGCCTCTGCCTCTGCCTCCTGAGTGCTGGGATTAAAGGCGTGCACCACCATGCCGGCTGGATTATACTTTTTACACAGACTTTTAAGAATCTGATGAGCGCCTAGATGACAGGCATGAAAAATGATGAGGTTGGAGGATAGCATCTAGAAAGACATGCCCAGGAATGAGCTCAGGACAGAGCTGCTGAAGGATGAACTCAGGCTCCTTAGTTACAGGGAGGGCAAGAGTCAAGAGTTTCTCCCTGAAGATAAATGAAAACTTGAGCTTACATTGCAGCAAGAAGTATTTGATCAAATTTAGGTAAGCTTTTGCCATCTGTAGGGATTTCTAGACTTGAGGATAGAAAAGATATAAAATATTTCGGGCCTTGCTTAGTCACACATCAGATCCCATGTACCTGGGATTTGGAAAAAAATCCTGTACATGGGAATTCAGGGGCTGGTGGAATGTAGGAATACATTTCCAGTTTGGGGGTTTTGTTTTGTTTTATAAAAATGTGGACTACTTTGTGATTATAATATATAGTGGGTTCTTGGGTTATTTTCTGAAATGGCCCTAAGAAATATCTTCTTAGAAATATCTTATGCTTATGTGGTCTCAGGTATTTTATTTGTTCAGTAAGATCAGACAATAGTAACCTAACTTCCCAATCTAAAAACGTACTTAACATTTTCATCATAAATGACAGGCATTTTTACTCCCTCTGATTTTATCCCTCCTCCACACTTGGTTATGCCAGATTATTTCCAACCTTTGAGGGGTTCTTCTTCAACTGAAGGAAAAGACCGAGCTCCTAGGCATGGCACAGCAGCCCCTCATAGACTGGCTTCCTTCCCCCCTCAGCCCCTCTCTTCCCATCTTCCGTCACACACTCTGTGCCATGGGCTTACCAGAGCTAAGGTCTGTCTGATTCTGAAATGTGCCTTGTTCTGTATGTGCCTTGCTGTCTGCCAGGTCTGCCAGCCTGGCCAAAATATGACCACTGAAACCCTGTGAAGGCTCCACATGTCAGTGGAGTCAGCTCCCATGAAACCTTGTGCCCAACTCTTTTCTGTACAGTTTTTACTGGCTGGCCTTCGACTTGTTGTGCTTGCATCCATACTGAACTGTGACCCAGTCAAGGGGAGGACTGTTAATTATGGAAGTACTTCCTGCATTAGATGGGAGATTTCATAAGTACATGTTGAATCAACAGAAGAAAGAAACGGAGGGAGGGAGGGAAGCAGGGGAGAGAGAGAGAGAAAGGAAAACAGAGGGGAAGACATCACAACTGATCCTAACCTTCACAAGATTTTAAAACCCTAGGCTATTCTTAGTTCTTATAAGATTCATCATTATAAAATTATTAAATTTTATTACAAATTTTATAATAAATTATAAAATTCCTTGAGCAATATTTATCTAGCTTTTCTTGCTATGTAAGGGAGATACATAAACTTGTTAGATTTAGTAAGAAAATATATAAAGAGAATCTTATATTCAGTGATGCTCGGCTCTGAAATAAAGAATTAATGTCATATATACACAATTTTCTAAACTATATATACACAATGAATGCTTTAAAATTCCTGAAGCCATCTTTTTGATAAAATTTTTAAACTTTTACCTCATTTCTTGTTTTACCAGTACTACTTCAGTAACTGCATTCAGAAGTTAAAGGTAGCATGAAATTCTCTTAATTACTTATGAGGTAATTTCCACATCCATTCAACATTTCCAAAATCAAAACTAAATCTTTCCCTTGCCTTGATAGTAAGTCTCACAGTGCAAAGCTCACATGTCTCTTGCTCCAGATACTCCCACCGTGTAGCATCTCACCACCTCAAAGCCTGATTAAAGCACTTGGCCAGCTGAAGCCTATAATTTAATTGGTCAGAATCAAGGAGCAACCATAGTCAAAAACAAACATGGGTTCAAATGTAAACAGTATACCTAGAAAATGAATAATTCATGCCTTCCCACCAATGTTAAAAAAAGATGTCCAAGTTTTTTCAAGAATGCCAAACAAGGTAATTGCAGGATAAGGTTACTGTCATGACTATTATGCAACACTTTATTGAGTACTTTCAAAGTACTGATGTCATAAGTTTAATTGTTTAGTCTTAGGCAAATAAGCAGGAAGTAAAATTTTGAAAATACAGTTCGAGTCCTTCCTCACCTGGCCATTCTTACACTTTTTGGATTGAAGACCAAATTCACAGAAGCAATATGTGGCTAGTGGGGCACTCCTGTTTCAGGTTTTAAACAGCATCAGTGATGCAGAATGGTCTCCAAAGACTTTTGTCCTTGAATTATTGACTGGTCGTTAATATCAGGGAATTCATGAAACTTCTATCACCAGCTCAATTATCCTCCTTTTATAAATAAAAGTGGTTCAAGAGGCAATGAAGATATGACCTTTTTCCCCCCTATGAGTTTACTGTAACTAGCCTATTCTATAAGACTGTTAATGCAAATTTGATTGAGCAAGATTGTCATTTGGGGACTGGAAAGATGGCTCAGTGGTTAGGAGCACATGATGGCTAACAACCATCTGTAACTCCAGTTCTAGGGGCTCTGACACTTCTGGCCTCCCCGGGCATTGCAGCATGTGATGCATTTACATACATGCAGACAAAATACTCATACACATAAAATAAAAATAAATTTTAAGAAAAAAATTTTATTAAAGATTCATTTGTAGTTCTCAGAGTATAAACTCTAAATTCTGCCTGCCTGTGATAGGAGTATCTTCAGAAAATATTTCCCCAAGGAATGTGTAACAATTATGTGAGTAACACATTATGTGAAATGTCATTTGCAGCATCCCTGGGTCTGCAGTCTGTGCCTATGACATGCTTGACATTGCCAATGTTTTTACTGGGAGATTCAAGGAGCAGAAGTCCCCTGATTCCACTTGGACACCAGTTCCTGATGAGCGTGTCCCTAAACCCAGGTACCTACAAATGTTTGTTCAGCTAGTTTTTACTAAAATGGTGAAACTGTCTTGTCTAGTAGTGCATATCCTGTGGATTGCATATCTGTGCCTTCCATCTCTATCCAGGGAGAGAGATACAGAGCAGCACAAAGGTTTTCATGGCCATGTGCTCTCATCCTCTTCACCAGAGCCCACAGTTAGTTTTAGTACCTATAAACCATGACTATCTAGTCTTCTGCTTAATCTATATAAATGTAGTTTGCCAGTGTCACAATAGGTGATAGGTACTAACTGCTAGAGCTAGCCCTATTGGTCTTAAGGTGGAGAAATAAAGAACCAGAAAGTAAAGTGTATTATGTAAGTTCATGTAACTAGACAGATTACCTCTGTTGTTCCTCCCAGCTTCCCTCCAATTTTATATAAACTCTTTATCCTTAACCCCAATAAAAGATGGAAGTATTCCCTGGATGTTTGTGACCAAGTGGGACCAAATCGAGCCCAGGGTTTCCAGGCCAAGGGCAAGAAGAGTCTAGTGGGTACAGTAGATCACTGGATATCTCTTTTCCGTTCTGCATCCATATATAATGTACTGCCAGCCCTTTCCTGTGTCCTAGACTTGCTCACATGGAAAGCTTCAACCCAGAGATCCTGTAGAGATTTCTTGGGTCTATATTATCTCTTCAGAGCCTTCCATTAAAACAGGTAACTCCTGGGGCTCAAGAAATGGCCCAGCCATTAGGGCTTCTTGCTCTTTCACAGAACCTGAGTTCAGTTCCCAACACCTATATTGGGTGGCTCACAACCACCTTTAACTCCATCTTCAGGAGATCTGACACTCTCTTTTGGCCTCCATGGGCAACTACATTCATTCTCTCTCTTGTCCTCTGATCACTACAGCACATGTGCACCCATACACATACATATACATCACACACACACACTCTCTCACACACACACACACACACACACACACACACACAAATAAAAATAAAGCTTAAAAACATACATAGATAGCTAATTCTGCCTGGAAAAGGATGGAACATCCCACAGACCCTTGCTTGCCCACTCTATGTGGCACATTCTATACCTTCATGACAGCATTTGTAATCTAAGTTACATAGAAACATCTCCCCTGAATTTGTATGGCGTTGGATGCAAGCCCAATGCCTTACTTTCCTGTTTTCTAACACTCTCCCCTAGCCTCCCATCCTGCTCCCACCGAAATACCTAGAAACACATTTAATTCAACTAAGATATAATGAAACAAAGAAAAACTCACATGCCCACCCATCTCTAGCAGCTGAATCGCCTGGTATGTCCCTACTCTGTTGCTTATGGGAAGCAGACTCAACATGAAATATACACCCCAGGAACCAGATAGATTCCCTTAGTTAGCACCTGGAATTATTAACTACCTTCTGAATAAGAAAGAGAATTAAGTTGGATAAATTGAAAGCTCTCCTTGGTGTGTAAAGATGCTGTCAACTCAGCCATCATGAAGACACATGCATTATGTGATTTTTCTCCCATGTCAGTGGGTTTACCACATGCTCCATATACATACCTGTCTCCTACTTCTTGCAATCAGGATGACTGTATAGGGTTGTTTGGTTTAGTATCATGAAACAGTAGCTACATGGTATGGGGACAGATTGTGTAGTGAGGGCAATTGGGTGTCTGGACCCTAGACTTTATTTAATAGTTCCCTGATCTGACTTTGCTGAGACTTCCATGATGCTCCTTAAACCGCAGAATTTCTTACAAATGTGAACTTTTGCCATCTTTGTTCAGTAACAAGGTAATGATCTTTCAGGAAAGACTTTAGTGTAACTGACTTTTCATGCTTGCCAAAATCTAATACAAGTAGAAGTCAAAATAAAAAGCAAATTCATACTCTCAGAGATGGTAACATTGAGGTATGTGCCCTGGTGACTCTTTGAGCAGCATCTTTCCTACACTTGCAAAAGAGTCAGCCTAATTCCCTTCCTTTGTAGAACAAATGTCTCAAGAAACTCTGGCAGGGCTTTTTAGTAAAGCATCCCAGAGATACGTGTCACCACACACTCCCTCACTTGTTCCAAGTTCCATCTCTGTTCACTGGGGTTTGTTTGTATATCTGGAAGGGAGCCAAGCTGCCTGGAGATGAAGCTGGGCTGTACTGCCTAGGGCTCCTTTATGGAATGAAGAGACAGCCCAGAGGAAATCTCCGCATATTGTATTTGGTGGCATTCTGCATTGTTCCACTTCCTCTTCACTGCCTGTGGTACAGTCCTCTTTGTGCCAGATGCTTAGAGAAACAGTTCATTCAAAGAATTTGCCATAAGGCATGAAGTTAACTCTTCCCCTCCCACCTTTTGTTTCATTTTAGGCCAGGTTGCTGTGCTGGCTCATCCTCCTTAGAAAAATACGCAACCTCCAATGAGTTTCCTGATGATACTCTGAACTTCATTAAGACACATCCTCTCATGGACGAGGCAGTGCCTTCCATCATCAATAGACCATGGTTTCTGAGAACAATGGTCAGGTAGGTGTCAAGCAAACCATGTCCTAAATGGGTTTCCTTGACTTTATCTTTTGCTCATGGATTCTATCAGTGGCTCATGCTCCGAAATGCCACAAACATCTTCTGCTATCCTGGGCATTGGTTCAGCTATGAAATGTTGACAGGCTGGGTAGATGCCACCGAAATCCCATAGCCACACTCTCAGCAAGAAGAGTGCCAGTATGTTCAGACTAGTTCTACACGTGCCAGCAATTAGAAGAAAGAAAAATATTTCCCTCCACATTAGCTCATTAATTCAATCTGTGCTGTCCAGGGGCATGCAGGAGAACCAGTGGATGGAAGTGGATACCTGTTTGGTTAGATACGATTGCAAAACATACTGCAGGTGCCCCCTGAGCTTGGCCACTGGATTGTTGGCATGAAGAGACACCACATTTGCAATGGTATGCCAGCACAAAAGATTTGTATGTTATTGTTATCTAGAGTGGTGGCCAACAGAGGAGCAAGAACTGAATGGAAATCTCTGATAGCATTAAGTGTCCTCTGTGATTAGGGCGGTTCTTCAAATAATACAACAGGTTTTTCCAAGTACCATTCAGATGTACCAGTCAACATAACAAATGATAGTTTGCCACATTTTTTACACTGCTGACTTTATGGAAAGTTATTCATTAGAGTACTATGAAATCTCTTGACCATAAGATGGGAACCGTAGTATATTACCTGTGGGAGAGTTTTGTTTCCTGATTCCTGTACAGGACAAATAAGCATCAAAGGAAAGTTGAATGACCAAGGAAGTTCAGAGAAAGATGCCCAATAGGGCTTAATTCTGTGCTAATCTTTCACCTTTCGTTTTACACAAATGTGATTTGTCTTGCATGTCTTCATATTTATTAGTAATGTCATCAGCCCCCACCTTCAGGAACCTCTTGACCCCTCTGTGGACAACCAGAAAGCGTTCTAATCTACCATCTTGTTGACAAAGGCTTTGCACCTCAGAGGAGAAGTACTGAGAATGATATCCCTGCTTTCCTTTTCAATGTTAGAAAAAAATGTGAAATAAGTTCACTTATTATTCCTTCCTCTCCATAGGAGACATCAGTCTTTCCTTACTGTTCATGGAAGGGATCATTGCTGAGTGATTTCAGATGGATATGGATGTTTATTTATTATGGAACTTGGCCTCCATACACACACACTTCCTCCTCCCTATTGGAGCCATACTAATGCTCTGCATATGGAAAAAAAGGACCAGAACAGCTTGAGAGCATTACTTATATGCATAAATTTTCATGAGATTATTACTAGAAAGCTGTGTCACAATTGTTTGAAGTGGAAAGGGAATCTTTAATGATAGCCTAACAAAGAGATTTTTTTAAAAATGTGATCCTATCATTTTAGATACCGCCTGACCAAAATTGCAGTAGACAACGCTGCTGGGCCGTATCAGAATCACACTGTGGTTTTCCTGGGATCCGAAAAGGGAGTCATCTTGAAGTTCTTGGCCAGGATAGGAAACAGTGGTTTCCTAAATGACAGCCTTTTCCTGGAGGAGATGAGTGTTTACAACCCAGAAAAGTGAGTAGAATATTTGGTCCTTTCCTGCTGATTATTTGCTATGTTATTATGACCCTGTTCATTCAGAAAAAAATCATGGCAAACAAGTTATTTTATGCAGTTTTAGATGTGTTTTCACAGCATTTGCAAAATATTTAACATATGAAAGGCATCATTTTTCCTTGTCAATGTTGTATCTTTCTATAGCTATGGGTGTACTTATGCGTGTGTGCGTCTGTGTGTGTGCGTGCACACATGCACATGTGCATGTAGCCCCAGCTGGCCTGGAACTCGCCATGTAGACCAAGTTGGCTTCAAACTCACAGAGATTCACCTGCCTCTGCCTCCCGAGTTCTGGGATTAAAGGCAAGCACCATGCTGCATGGCTGTTCTAACTTCAGTTATTTCGGATTGTGAGATCACCTTGTGAGCTGGAAAGAGGAGCATGAGGGCGGAGGCAGGAGAGGAAAATTGTTCTGAACAACTGATTGATTCTGTCATCCTATCCATAAAACTAGGTGCAGCTATGATGGTGTAGAAGACAAAAGAATTATGGGTATGCAGTTGGACAGAGCAAGTGGCTCACTGTATGTTGCATTCTCTACTTGTGTGATAAAGGTGCCCCTTGGCCGATGCGAACGACATGGGAAGTGTAAAAAGTATGTATTTTGCTTCCTGACAGTTAGAAAATCCATCATAGTTGGAAAACAGTCCTGGGTGGTTCACAGTCTTCCTCTTCCTGCAGAACCTGTATTGCCTCCAGAGACCCGTACTGCGGGTGGGTAAAGGAAGGGGGTTCCTGTGCCCATCTGTCACCCCTCAGCAGGTAAGGAGCCTGAGGTGTGGGAGAGGGCAAAGTGTTTTGGTCAGCCTCCGTTCTAGATGTAGGCTAGGCTGCATGCACTCAGAACACCAGCACTTACCCCTCTGTGCAAAACCCCAGCAACAGGACTGCTAGCATTCTCTTTTATGGCTCAGTTCACAGAACCCCACAGTATCACCAGTGGCAGATTGCCAATGGAATAATCACCCTTAGACTGGATAAGAACAGAGAAAGGAAACACAGTGGGCTTCAAAAGTAATCCCTAGAGAGAGGAACAAGCAGGTACCTGCCTTGAGCATCACTGTACGCGAACAGCAGAGAAAGGAGCCATGGAATTCCAATTAGGTTAGTGAGTGGTTTGTCCAGCCACAGCAAAACAGGCTCTGCTAATTGATTGCACAGGGCTGAGAAGGAATGGCAGAGCATTTGTTAACCTACGCATTTATGTTTCAAACTTGGTGTGATGTTTTCTCCTGTGCTGAGAAAACCCTGACCCTGTTACTCATTAGGCACACAATTTTGGGCAATTTTCCAATCGATTCTCCTTGATTAAGCCCTTCTATCATGCCTGTGATTTTGGTGTTTAAAAATTGTTACTTTAGCTCTAAGTGATTAGATTGACTAAGAAATTTCTTTTCATGTTTTAACTTCACTGGATGTGACATCCAAAATAACATTTGGAAAAATCAGTGCAGGTCTCTGACAAGTTGTGGCAACTCATATGAGATGCCCTATGGCAGTCCTGGGCTCTTCTTCAACAAAAGAGCCTCATCAGCCCCACCTGGAGAACAGAACCGTTTTCCCATCACTGTGCACCTACTTTCCAACTTTAGAAGAGCTAAACAAACAGGAAAGTGTATTTGGTGACCACCACCCACACATTTGAGGACAAGAATTCCCAGAAACAGAACAAATGATAACTGTGAAATATAACCTGGAAATTTGAGTTTTGCAAAGAGTTGACCTACTATATATTATTCAGTTAGCCTTGCAAGTGTCACTACTGACATACCGTAGCATTAGACCTTTGAATCTGCCCATAAAATCCTCAGGATATAGGATAAAGGATCACAAAGCACAGTGAGCTTAACTGAGAGATGGTTTATCTCTTTCCCCATACTCAACAAGTGACCAAAGGTAACTGGTTATGAGCTAGTTTTGTTATCAGAATTCCACAACAATACCTCCTCTCAGACCTGCACGCATAGTTCAGTGACACAGGCAATGCTCAAAACATGTGGAGATCTGCTTGGAGAATGGGCTTCAGGTCCGGATGAATACTGGCTTTCATTACAAAAACTCTTTATCCTTGGAGGATGAATTTAATTTTTAATGCAGCAAAAAGACATTAGAAGTTTAACACGGTGGATTATTAGATCAAGGTGTGACTTTCAAAGCAGTTTTCTTACATGGCTCACAATAAACTCTGATGCAGCCACAAAAGAGAATTTTCAATTACATTTTGGAAATAGAAGTACAAAGTTTCCCTGCTGGATAATGCTCTTCTTATGGATAAATCTTGTGTGCTTATTTTAAAAATCAAAATATTATTGAAATTGGTTGTGTTAATGTTGATGGTCTTGGACTCACTATGGAGGAAAACAAGAACATTCAGGATTAGGTTAGGACTGGCTGACCGTGAGCAAAATGCTCAGCTCTTTTTGCTCTCACAAGCCCCACATACTCACTGACCATTTGTACCCCTATATGTTTGGTTTTACGTAGTTTACTAGGCAAAGAAATGGAAAAAAAAAAAAGTCCTGTGAAGGCAAGTACGAGAGAACAAAAGAAAGGAGAGGAAAAACAGTGCTCTCAATTCACAGGTGCCCACATCGCTTCTGTGATGAATGTGCTTGAACATTTAAACTTTTCAAATGTTTGAGATGCTCAGGGAATCAGAGTTAAAAAAGGATATGAATAACTCTTAAACTAATTAATTTACAGAATAAGATCTGAATTAATTGTTTATCATAGCTTCTCTTTGTAAATTCACATAAGACTCATTTTGGTAAGCCCCAGAGATAAATTTCCAGGGCATTAGCTGTTTCTCTTGTGTACCTGTCCCTCAGTTTATGAAAGTAAGTTACTTTTTTAGGGGAGCTTAAGGGTCATCCCTGAGTGATGACCCCTGATGTATTTGTTTCTGTCTTTTCTTGTCTTCCTTTTTTAAAGACTGGCTTTTGAGCAGGACATAGAACATGGCAATACAGATGGCCTAGGAGACTGTCACAGTAAGTAAAGTTTTTTTTAATCATGTCTATCTTTGGGCAAAGATGCTTTTATTGAATGATCTAGAAGCGTCCCCAGTGTGGAATGCAGTACAGCTGACTCTGATGTGAATAAACAACAGAAATCGCCTTCTAAACCTTAAGAAAGCCATGTGTGTGGAAGTCAGCGCTGTCAGTGTTGCTGAGGCAAATACAAGTATCTCATCCAGTATTCTAATGCTGCAGAACAAATTCACTCTAGAGAATATTAATTATAGCAAAGCAGTAAGTTATATCAGCATTTCCATTACAAAAATGACAGTTTTGTTGTTTTTCATAATGTGCTGTTACACTGTACTTTAGCCAAATAATCAAAAGATTAATCATTGTGTTCTAGCTTTTTAATTGAGTGGGACTATTTCAGTCTTCTTGAACATATTCACTAAAGAAAGTAATTGTTTTTCAAAATTTGATTTATATATATTTATATATATTATTTCTGAAAAAATTCAGAAATAACCCATCAGTACAAAACAATTCTAATGACATTTTATAGAAATTTCCCTATGATGTGGTGCTCAGACTTCATGTCAAATACTATTGAGTGGCAGTATTTCAGGTAAAACGTTCTATAAGAAATCTTTGTTTCACATGGCAGCTAACAACCATCCGTAACTCCAGTTCTGGGGGATCCAATTCTCTCTTCTGACCTCCGTGGGTACTGCACAACACCGGTGTTCTTACACATATACAGACAATACACTCATACACCTAAAATAAAAACATATTAAATTAAAAAAATATTGGTTTCCGAGTTCTGTCCAGTCATCTTATGACTTGATCAATATCGGAATTCTGAAAATGCTTTACTGATATTAACTCAATGAATAATTCCATGCTCTGAGAAAATATGTTTAGTTTATGAAGATTTTTTGAGTAGAGTTGGAGTTTATTAATAGATTTTAATACTGGAGTTAGGAGATATAAAGGTTTTCAGGAAAACAGTAAGACATTGGGTGTCGGCTTCTCAAAGAAGAACGGCCTTGTTTGTGATTTTTTTTTTTAATGTTATACATGCTGAATTTCAAGAAGTTTGTATTCAAAATGTCACCAAAAGATAAAATAAAGATAAAAAAAAAGCTGGGTGGATTCTGGTGCTTGATTCTATAACAGAGATCATGGCCCAACTCTAAGACTTTCAGTCATGACTACTGAAATTTTGGACCAAGGTGTCATTCAACTTTCTACCTTATGGTTTTGGTTTGTTTGTTTGTTTGTTTGTTTGTTTGTTTTTTAATCAGAATAATCAAATAAAGAAGACAATGGCAGTCTTAATCTACAAATTCTTTACCCTACATATTTTTGTTTGAACATACAATAGATCATCAAAGTTTTCATCTTCAAAGTTTACCATCTTCATGTGCAATATTTACATTTAAAATTGATGTAGGAGATCACCAAAATATCTGTACCCTGTGTGTGTAGATTTATCCATATTAGTGAAACAACTTGAGGATTGATCATTGGGACTTAATTATCTTGTGCCTTATAACTTCAGTTTTGGAAAAATATGAGGGTTTTGGCATGGGGTGGGGTCGGGGGTAAGGGTGTGGAGGTCACAGATAATTAGTTAACTTTAGAAAACCATTTTCATCACATAGGAGTATCTGTTGAAAAATGAGAATGTAGATTTGCTTGAATCAGGAAATACACAAGGAAAATGAAGATGGATTGTTACTGTCTGTTTGCAGAGTTTGCCCGAACCTATGTTCTCAGACAGAGGAAGCTAAAAGAGCCTTGGTATCTAGTCTGAAAGGTCCCAGTTCAGTGGCTTAGTCTTCACTCCCAGGGTCAGCAGCAGTCTGTTTTCCTTGTGTCCCAGCTTTTGTACCCTCCATTCCAAGGTGCTTGCTCTCTCAGGACAGAAGGTGAGCTGCCTCTGTCTGCCAGCTGTCCTGAGGGCTTCTCTCACCATGCTTCCACCAGAGCAGGAACTACTTCTGTTACACATACTCAAGCACACGTCAGTATTCAGAGGGCATTTACATAATTGTCGCACACTGGCTCTTTAACAGGACTTTAAGAGGAAAGGGGGGAAATCATAGTGAGCCAGTGTGAGGGTAAGTAACAACTTGAGGGAACCAGTGACCTGACCCAGACACCCAGCACACACATCTATACATGTTGCCTAACAAGTCTATGGGTTTGGAGTTTTGTTTTAATTTCCGATCTAAAAATTCTGCTGAGTTCAGAACATTGTGAACTGTGATACTAGACGGTTCCACTTAGTTTGTTCATGAGAATGAACCCAGAAAGAACATAAAGGAAAGTGTGGTCTAGTTATTATTTTATTCACAGCCATGCCCCTCTGTATAAAGTATAGCATGAACCCTCAGACTCACATATAGTAATTGCAGTGACCATTTCCTCTGATAACTTTTGGATTTTCTTTGCCTTTAGCTGTGACTTTGAGAAAACTCACTTGTGGAAAAGATCTGGAGATAGGACTGAGTAGGAAGCAGCTTAGGTTACAAACAGGACGTGAGCCCTTCCTCAGTGCTGGGCTCCCGTGCTGGCGTAGTTCCGTTAGTTCATTCCCACTGACTGTGTAAGTCACACTAAGCAGAGTGTGCAACGTTAAGTAATTGCCTCCTCCCTTTTGTCTTTCAGATTCCTTCGTGGCACTGAATGGTAAGAAAGACGTTACTGTCATAATTTAACACCAGTGGAAATTTATTTCACTAATCCTCTTGAGAATTTTTAAACTTTAGATTTCTTTTTAATTAATTTTTTTATCCTCATTTTTTATAGACATTTCAACTCCTCTACCAGATTATGAAATGTCTTACAACACAGTGTATGGTCAGTTTATTGATATATATCGATATACATATTAATTCTTAAAGTTACTCACCCTTTTGTAGTTTATAATTTTCATTCCTAAATGTCATAGACCAGATTCTTTGTTACTTCAGGGCCCCAATTCACTAAAATTATTTATAGATTTCACTATGCTTCACAAAACTTACTGTGTTTATATGAAAAGGTTGATGAGGGAGATAGACTGAATCCTAAATTTTTAATCCCTATAACATGAAATATGCCAACTTTCAGGAATTTTAGTAAATATATCTAATGAGCTCTTGAGGGAAAAGAATTTTCTTCTTCTTAAATATACTTGCACATAAGTACATTCAGGAAAAAATAATACTTTTAACTAATAAACTATAACTCCTCAGCTGAGAGAGAATACCATCCCCAAGTTCTGGCTGTGAGGGTAACCCCTCTCTCTATAGGGGAAATTCTACATAGGGCACAGACATAGGATGTTATTAGGAAAACGTTGCAATGTGGCATGAACTTGGCCAACAAAATTTAAGTTCATCGAGAGTGTGAATATTTAAACCTATGTACAGAAAGATTTCTTCAGAATGTATACAAGGAAGAGTGACGCAGTGGAAATGATGTCCAAACAGGATTTCTCCCATTGTTCTCGGCCTGAAATACACAAATCCTGCATCTAAGTTCAGGAACAGAATAGCCTTAACTCTTTATGTGAAAGTTGAAATGCAGCTATTTTGTTTATAGTTTTCAAAGTACCCCAAATATTTTTAAGGGAAATAACTAAATGTGTTTTTAAAAAATATAATATGAAGAACATCACTGATGACAAATGTAAGCTTTTGAATTTTAATCGGGGTTATTAGTTCAGCCATTTTATAGATTTTGTGTTTAAGATTTATACCAAAGGCAGTCTTTAAACATAGGATAGGTAAGAAAAGGAGGGAAGGGTTAAAGAGAAGAAGAGGAAAGCAATGTGGATTTAGGATTCAAAGAATAGTTCAAGATGGCTACAAATGTGTTCAATCTCTATGTAAATTTTCACTCTCTTAGTCTGATTAGCATAAATAAAAAGCCACTTCAAAGTTCTTGGAGATTGTCTTAAAACACAGAGCTGTGCAATATGATTTCTCCTGACCAGCCCCCTCATGAAGTGAGGCAGGATGGAGTCCACAGAATTCGTCCACCTTTGACATTCTCTCATCCTTGATTCAAAACAGAATATTGAACAGCACAGACTAAAGGAAAATTGCTCAGAAGGCAAATGTCATTTAGCTTAACCTTAGCCTTCAAGAAGAAAACCACTTAGCACCTGTTCTTTTCCAATGCTGTACTTTGCAGTCATTGCCTATAATTGAATAATCTTTATCAAATATTGAGAAATTCAGGCCTTGAAACTAATTGAACCAGAACCCTTTCCAGCATTCATTAACTGTCCAGGACCAATTTTTAACTCCAAGGGAATTGCTCATACAGATAAAATAATTAAACCCTGGGATGCTCTTTATGAACAAAAATCACTTTCCAGGTCTGGATCTTTCATTTTTAGTTCAAAGAATGGGTATTTATTAATTTTTCAATATTAACATTTTAAAGGACAATGCCCAATTGTCTTCAGCTCTTGATCTATGGTTTCTGTAAGCAAACAAAAGAAGAGCTGGAACTTCCCTTTCAGCTAACGATCCTGTCTGTCCATTTTAAGTAGAATCTGTTTGGTACACAGTAGTTAAATGATGAATTGACCATTGAAATGAGTGACGGTTCAGATAATACTTAATAAAAATAGAGGAGACCATGAGACATGTGATCATAAATGTTGACTATCTTGGCATTAACTAAGAAAAGATTTAATTAATGTGTCCAGCAAATGTTTGTTGAGTGCCTGGTGTATGTCAAGCAATGGACTAGATGCAGGATTTAGGGCTTGTAACATCAGAAGAAGGACCAAGTGGCTTTTTTTATAAACATGAATATAGATGAGAAGCCAGCCACAAAATGCACCTATACTCTTAGTAGTTATGTCCTTTGTTATGCCCTGCACTCCGTGGCTAAGTTAGATCCTCAGAGCAAACCACAAACTGGAATTTTCTCTCTCAGGTAAAGGGGTCCTTTTTAGCATGCAAACTTCCTGTTCTCAAAAGCTCTAGGCAACATCAGTCACTTATGCAAGAACCCCTTTTAGTGAATTGGGCCCTAATTTTCTTTCTCTCTCTTCCTCTCCATATTGATTTACTGTTGCTTTGATGTCTAAGTGGCTATAATCATTGTTAATAGTCAGAAGAGTGTGAAAGTTCTCTAACCTCTAGAATCGTAATGATTTGTAGATATAGAGAAACAACATGATGCACTAAAGTCAACTTTTTAAATATCTGTGCTTTTTGTAGTTTTGAAGAATATTATAGCTTATAGTCCATTGATTAAAATGTGACCTTTTCTACCAGACTATAAGATTAGAGTAAATCTACATATCCACAAATTATTGTCTATTTTTGTGGCATGATTGAGTTACAGAGTCTCATAGGCAACAAACACATTAAAGTAATACAGCCTCTGAAATGAAGCTATGAGAACACACTTAAATGATTTCTTAATAGCATTGCTTAAGCCCAGAGAGTAGCAATAACATACACCTTGATTTCAGAGGAAGGCCACTGCTTAACGGTGCTTTCACCTGGTGGTTCTAAAGCTTTTGAGAGTCAGATATTGCTTTCTCTTATTGTATAATTCACCAGCACGTCTCTCTATCTTCAAGCACAAGTCTCAAAGATTACAAAGCTTGTGCTGTTCCCTTTTTTTTTTCTTTTGAGTAAATCAGATGCATAGTTTCTCTAGATTTACATATAGAAAATTCAAGATGTGGTGGGTATTAGACTAACACTTCAGCGATAGGAAGAGGCTGATTTCTCACATTTGTGTAAAACATTTTCCCACCTAACCACCATCTGGTCCACATTAATTTCCTCTCGTAGCCATAGCTTTCCATTACCAATGAGTTTTCCATGTATCTGCGGCATATGGTCCTGGAAATCTTTCTACAGAAAATGTGTCCCTTAGGCATATATTTCCCCTAGATTACCATATTAAGAAATGTTCTCCCTAAACCATACTTATGGCATTACCATAAAATTGCCCCTTGAACACAGTTAAATTGAAAGTGCTCAAAATGCATATCAATTCAGGTAAAAGAAAGTCTTGCTACTTGAAAGGGAGGTGCCCCCCACCCCCATTTCTAACTCCCAACAAAGCTATTTCTAATTGTGTTCTTATGCTGGGTGCTGAATTCTCTCTTAGGCTGACCATATATGTTTTCCAAGCAGTTTTTAATTCAGGTGTGGAAACAGAGGTTATGTTTAAGACCTCGGTGTAAGCAAAAAGGAAATTATCTCCATTTCTCAGGCCGATTTTCCTGCCCATTCTCTTATCAGTATTAGAGGGGATACGGAACTCAGAAATGCAAAAAGTCTAGAACCAAACATTCCTTGAGTCTTAAATGATTTTAGTGGTAGGTTGTGAAGCAGACTATTTTCAACAAACAGATGTTGGAAGCTGTGGAGGAGCCACATGAGTTCTGCAGAGAAAGGGACTTCTAAAATGTTACTGTAGCTTTGCAACAGTGTTTAAGTGTGGTGTTCCCAAAGAAATCATCAGAGCTTATAGGAGCTTTTTGGCTCCTTTTTCCCTGAGGAGCAAGATTTTAAGATGTAATGTTATTTTTTTTAATGCACTCTTTGTAATTTGTAATATTAAAGTCTCCTGGGACTCCAACTTCCAATAATACAGATTAAAAGAGAAAGAGAAACAGTGCATTTGTCACAGACCTATATTCTTGGTGGCCTGTGTTTTAATTCTCATGCATCCTCAGGCTAGAGATTTTAGAGCTACTGTGATTCTGTCCTACTTCCTGCCAAAGGCATCGATTACATAGGCACAGTAATTGTCTTTCGGGCTTCCCAGGCTGATATAGAACGTACTTGTAGCCTAGGCTGGCCTTGAACTCTCAGCAAATCTCCTGCTTCAGTTTCCCAAGTGCTGGGATTATAGGCATGAGCTACGACACCAAGCTTGATGACTTTTTAAAAAGTGCTCAAGAAGTTGCTATAGGTAAGACGGTTTAATAATCCACTTGAAAGTCACAGAAAGGCTATATTTTATTTCTACACGAGAGAACTGCTAGCTGGGCTTCTTTAAATCATTGTGACAGCCTAGATGAAAGGACTTGATACAATCTGCATTTAATCTTGTGGAATGATGGAGAGAGAGCTTCAAAATGTGTTCACAGGAAATGTCCAGAGTATCTGCCATAACCCCCAGTCTCAGCATTTTTCTGGCACTGTCCTGCCATGGGCTGCATCAGAGATAAAAATCTACCTTTTCTAGTTTGAATCATCTCAGTTAGTGAGGCCACAAAAACAATGTCTCATAAATCTGAATCCTGAAACTCTGAAACCAGCTTTACTAGAATAAGACACAGAAACAGCTAGAGCAACACATTATAGGGGAGGCCTTCATGCCAGGAAAAAGAAGGGGAATAGATCCCTTGAGAATGAGCAATGCCTGTGAGGTTGATCTGAAACTGAATACTGGAAAGGCTCGGTCAGGGTAGCTGAGTTATCTGTGCTGGGAGACGCCTGTCCATTTTCATAGCCCTGCACCATCGGCCACAAACCATGTTCCTGGAGTACCAAACTGTGTCTTTCATACTGCCATAGAACCACCAGACAAGGGCATTAGCATTTCTTGAGCATCCCCTACGAGTCGGGCACTGTGGCGCTTTACCATTGTGCCACTTTAGCCTCCCCAAACTGGGAGGGCTCATTATCCCTCTGGTTTAGCAAAGGAGAGGGTAAGTGATTTCCAAGGCTCACCGAACAAGTGGCTGACATAGGTTCTGGCCCTTCATCCTCTAACTACAAGTTCAAGTGACCTTCGCTCAGCTCTGCCCAGCCCACTCCAGCCATCAAGACTTGTCATTTCTAAGGCGAGCCCTCTGTCTCAAGTCATCATGAGTATCTCATCTCCTG